GCTTCATTATGTATTTATATTTTATATTACCTGATTGTGGTGATATGGAACCACTCCTGTCTTGTCTTTAAAAAAGAACTTATTATTATGAACTTTAGAAATGTCAAAAAAAATGAATATTTTCCTGAACAGGCAGAAAAAATGCCTATGAATTCATGAGTCTCACTTAGGTATAGCTTTTTGTTGTTGTTGTTGCTGTGTATTTCAAACTTAACAAGTAGTTCCAAAATCACCTCATTTTATTTTGTCTTTGAACTTTTTATTCTGCTCTCTCTGTTTTTAATGACCCATTAGTTCTCTTTTCTTATTTTTTCTTGTAGATATTACCATCATGACCTCCGTCCCTGAGGTTGGAACAATGTATCAAAAATGTTGATGAAAAACTCATTATCAGGGTTTTTCAAATCATAATTGGTCATTTCACTGAGTACAATTATTGAACTTTACAGAATTATTTTCTGTTACAATGTAGAAGTTACCAAATAAATTGATTTTCTCATCCTCATTTCAACTCTGGAATCACTCCATACAAATTTTCCTAACTTTCTATGAATTTGCCTTTTTCTTCATTTCTTATGGCTCAATATTTCATTATATACATTTACCATTTTTCAGTCATTTATCAATTGATTGGTACACATTTTGTTTCTAGATTTTTTCTACAAAAGAGTACTTCTACAAACATTTTTATGAATGTGAGTTCTTTCCTTTTTCTTTTGATCTCTTTAGGGTATAAGCCTAGCCATTTTATCACTGGGTCAGAAGATCTGAACATTTTAATAACTGTATGCATGTGTATATATGTGTATGTATATATATATATATATATATATATATATATATATATATGTGTGTGTATGTGTGTGTGTGTGTGTGTGTAGATAGGTATGTATGTGTGTGTGTGTATGTATATGTGTATGTATGTATAGCTCCAACTTGCTTTACAGAGTAGTTGAACCAATTCACAACTACAAAAACATTACATCAGAGTGTGTATCCTCCCTAATCTCTTCCCATGGAAGCCATTTTCTTTTTCCCCCTCGTCTTTAACAACAACGATGAAGTAGAACCTCAGAATTGTTCCAATTTGCATTTCTCTTATTAATGAATTACAATATTTTTACATCATTTTTGACAACCTTTTTTAACAACAGCATTTTTACACCATTTTTGACAACCTGTCTTTCCTCATTTGATAAGTTGATGCTTCGTATCCTTTGACTACCAGGGAATAAGTTTTATTCCTATATATTTGTGTTAATTTTGTATATTTTAGAGATCAGATCCAATTTTAATTAGACTGAATATAGCTTTTAATTTTATTGTGGTCAGTGAAGAATGTGTTTAATATTTCTGTTTTTCTGCTTTTTTCTAATGATTTTAAGCCTTAACACGTGTTCAATTTTTGATAAGGTACCCCAAACATCTTAATACTAAGCATACTACATTTGGTTATGATTCAGTAATCATAATAGATCAATGTATCTAACTTTAAAAAAATTCTTTTTGTGCTCTTAGTTTCTTTAATGTTTGTCTTTTTGTAAGATTTATCTAGACGTGAAAGAGACATATTGATATCCACAATTATTATAGTTTTGATAAGCAGCTTTTCCTTTTAGTGAATTGACTTATTCTTCAATTACTTGGGTGCTATGCCAATTGATGCATCTAGAAAGTATCATTATTATTTTTCTTACCTATGGTGACTTTAAGCATAATAGTTTCCCTGCTTATCACTTTTAACCATGTCCATTTTTATTATTGTCTCATCTGAGGTGATGGTCACTTTGTGTACTATACTTCAAGTCTACTAAACATAACAAATACTTTGCTTCACCCCCTCAGTTCAGCTTTGTGTGCACTTTCATATTTCAATTGTTTCTTTCATAGCATTCCATTTGGGACCATTCTGGAATTGGACACATCCCCACAGATTTTGTGCATTTTGTACAGGATGACTGACTACTACTCTCAAGGTTCTAGGAGTAATTTTGAATGATTAGGTTTCTAGTACTTTTGTTTGTGAGTTGCCACTGTATGCTTCCCATTGTCAATCAGCCAGTTGATTTAATTGGTTTTTAGCAAGGACAAAAAGGTCATAACATACAGGCATGGTGAAAATAATTATTACAAATATTCCTAACTAAAGCTTGGAGCATACTTTCTCATGAATGTGTGCCTATAGGGGTACATGGGAAGAACATACTCAAGTGAAGTACAGTTGTGGTAGGGCACATGTGCAGGATACATTGTGGCACAGGAATAACTCACAACTCCAAGTGCTGTATGAATTGGAAGTACTTTCTTAAGTCTATAGCTTGCATTCTTATTTTGTTCAAGGAGTCACACTCCTAGCTGCTTCCCTCATCAAGTGACAGTATTTTGTGTCAATTGTTCTCAATGCATCACTGCTCATGGAAACTCTCTCTTCCCCTGTCCCCTCAAAGAACAATTAAACCTCTGTATCTTGGCTCCATCTCTGTTATTGTCATCTTCACCTCCTGAACTTGAAATCCAACACTCTATCAAAGTTAGACAGGACCATTACTGAAATTTTTTCAGCTCTATAAATCCCTCATAGGTATGGTTAGTTAAGAACCTGCTCCTTCATATAGATAGATAGATAGATAGATAGATAGATAGATAGATAGATAGATAGATATAGACATAGGTTTTTTATATATGCATATATAAACACACACACATACATACAATCTATCTATCTATCTATCGATCTGTCTATCTATCTATCTATATCACTAATGAGTCTTAACTCATAAAGAAATCACAGGGCATAAGCCATCCTGTTTACTCACAATCGAACCATTACTTTACACTGATGTCATTACACTAATTGAGATGGAAGTATAAATCCTTTTCTCTTATACTTATAAGCAATATGCTGTTGAATTCTGCTGTCAAAATCATTTTGCTATTCTTCGTTTTTCACAGGTGAATTTAACCCTTTCACTTTTACTATTATAATTTCCTTCCGTCAGAGCTTTCTATAAATGATCAACATTAGTAAGCTACAACTGAAGCAGTCTACTCCTACTTCTTTGACACTCCTCCCCTTAAGCAAGCCCAAACGTCAATCTCTAGTACTTTCACTTTCTTTTTCTTTCTAATCGTCATTTTATGGTCAAGCCCTTGAAAATGATCTGTTCGGCTTGTGACGAGCCCTTCAAAGTGGTCTGTTTGGCTTGTGACTATTCTTTCTACTTTTATCTCATGCCCCAATTTCTCTTTTTCCTGTGACCTTGTTTATTTTCCTGTACAATTCAATGCATTTCTCCAACAAACTTTTCATTCTCTGTGTGTGTGTGTGTGTGTGTGTGTGTGTGTGTGTGTGTTCTTCTCTGACATCCTATTTAAACAAAATAGTAAGTTTCAACTTTCTTCCCTCTTCTTTCTCCTTTCTTCTCTAGTATATCTCCTCCCCTCCCCTCCCCTCCCTTCCCCTCTCCTCTCCTCTCCTCTCCTCTCCTCTCCTCTCCTCTCCTTTCCTCTCCTCTCCTCTCCTCTCCTCTCCTCTTCTCTCTTCTCCTCTCCTCTCCTCTCCTTTTCTCTCTTTACACCAGCAAAACAGAATAAAACATCACTCAGGTCCCACATTTATCTTCTTTAAGTGCCTCTGTAATCCTTGAAAACATTAGGATTCTGAAGTGAATCTCTTCTCCCTCATTAAAGTGTAAACATGTCGTTATCATTTAGTTGTTTCCAATTGCTTGTATATATATTTACATTTCTAAGTTTCCCTTGACTCCTGTGTTGACATTTCAAAGTTTCTACTGACCTCTGGTCTTTTCAAAAACAATGCTTGCAATTAAAAGTCCACCACTCTCTCTTCCTACCCATTTTTAACAGATTATGTTCTATTTTGTTATGTTAGTTATGCTTAATTTTAGTCCTTTATTTTATGACTTTTGAACATAGATTTTTTCTCTTCTATAGTAGTTGCTGATACTTCTTCTGTTATCTTGATTGTGGTTCCTTGCCACTTGAACACTTTCCTTCTGGCTGTAGCATTACCTTTTTACCTTTTACTTAGAAGTTCAGCATTTTGGCTCTAAAATTGTATGAAATTTTGAATTTAGATTTCTTTTCAGGAGGTGACATGTAGATTCAATTTTCACTTTGCCCTCTGTTTCTAATCTGGGATTTTTTTTGATTTCTTGAAATATAACATCCAAGCTTAGTTTACTTTAGTTTAGTTTTATTTGTTTGTTCATGGTTTTCAGGGAGTCTATTGATTCTTAAATTTTTTTTCCTCTAATTTTTTTTCCCAGGTCAGTCATTTTTGATAATAGATATCTGACATTTTCTATTTTTTTTTATAATCTTTTGACTTTGTTCTAATATTTCTTCTTGTCTCACAGTTCTGTTCACTCTATTCTATTTTTCAGAAGGCCCACTACATGGATCAGGTTTCCCATTTCCTGTTCTATTCTTTTTTTTTTTTCATTTTTCCCTTCTAGCCTCAAATTTCCCTTATAATTTACATTATTTTTTTAAATTCTGTTGCTTCACTTCTTACAATTGCTTGTATGTTCTTTTTAGCCCATTTCCTCCCCATCTTAGGTTCTAACCCATAGCATTTCTTTGTTCAGTATTTTCTTTTGTTCACTCACATTTTTGGTTTCAGTTTTTGGATTAAGATTTTGTATTCAGGCTAGTCTCTCTAGCACTCTTAGATGGGTAAAATAGCTCTTGTTTGATCTTTTCTGCCCATTGTAGTTTGGGTGCTTCTGCTACTGCTGATACAGATGGAGTGGTAGTTATCAAGTCCTATCTTCTGCCTCAATCCCTGACTCCTGTATCAGCCTTATTGTGGTCTACCTTGGCCTTTCTATCTTCTTCTCTTTGAATGATCCCCAGGTGAAAGTTGGTTCTGTTGCCTGCTATGGCCCTAACATGTCCTAGTTTGATATTTATCACATTGTTTTCAAGCTTCTCATATAGCACTTACCTACAGCACTGGAGATAGCCTCATCCTTTGCTGTGATCCCAGTGCTCTGAGGAGCATATAAATATAATGTTTGCTCCTCATGTGATAGGCCACTGCTATTAACAGGCTTTAGTTGCATTAGTACTTGAACTCATTCTGGCTTGTCTCAAGTCCAGTTGCTAGTGCTCCTGTAGTTATTCCCTGGAACAGTTTCTCTCCCGGCTGCCAGTTTTCAGCCCTTTACCTAAGTTTTCCCTGGCTTTTCTAATATGACACTCTTTTTGCCTCTGTTAGCCTCAGAGTCTACTTGACCTTTTGTGATTCTTCTATAAACCTTTTTGTTAACCTTCTAGATGTCTATGTATGGAGTTTTAGAATGGATAGAAGAAATACTGCTATACAGTTCTGGTGGTCTTCATCAATGTTTTCTTTTGGGATCTTTTTCATATATTTGCCAGGGCTTCTCCTGGAGAGATGAGCTTCTTTATGACCTTTCAAGTTGCCGTATTAGGCAAAAGCCTCCCTATGAATAAAGTATAGTGATACATAGTCACCATCTGATCCTGAATGGAATGCTTAAATGTTGTTGCCTAAACTTTGCACGTTTCAGTGGAAACCTATGACCTATGAATTCTGTTGTTGACTTCTTTCTTTGGTTTTGTTTTCTATGGACTTTAAGTATTTTGAATACTATTTTTCTTCCTTGTCCATGGTTATTCTCTGTGGTATCTAACTTAGAGAAATAAATAGAAAATCTTCTCTCTCCCTTATTCCTTTTAATTTAAAGCTCATTTGATTAAATTTGCAGCATACCAACTTTTAAATTCTGTAATTCTGTGATTCTCCAGATACCATTTTTTCTAAAGGTCTGCAAAACTTGTGAGTTAGAAACTCCAATCAAGATATTCTCTTTTACTCTTATTGGGCAGAGGACAAAATTAGCTCAAAGCAAAGTTATTTACATAAATGAAATAGTGATTACTTGTTTTTTGTTATGGTGTCTCTCACTCTGCTGGGTTCCCTAAATGTGTTCCCCTACACAGTTAAATTGGACTCCACAGCTAGATTCTATGGACTTTCTCTGCTATGCGTGGTATCACCTTCTGGCCCAGTTGCTCTGCTACAAGATGTTGCTGTTTATAGGGATAGTAAGGGGACAGAAAAGTCACCTCCCCCCACTCTTACACTCTGGAAGAGCCACAAGGGCAAAAGTGAAGAGTTAGTCCTTCTAATGAGTTTGATTCTCCTCCTACCACCCTCGAGCTCCCCACCCAGTTGGCTCTTTTCAACTGCTAAAGGGTATCTCTCTCTCCAGGGTTTGTTCATTCTTTTTGAGGTCAACCAAGAACATGGGTGATTATGCAGCCTGCCTGATGGCTAGTAGCCCTATAATTCTATTATGTTGATTAAGGAACTTCACACCTCCTAAAGGAGTAAAACAAAATTAAAATTAAAAAAAACTTTTAAAGTACTTACTTTTTTCTTTTCAAATCTTAAAGGATCAAACAAGGTGAGAATGATCCCTTCACAATTTTGTACCCTTTGTGAACCACTCAGATTTTATATCCTTTAAAAGCTGTGAATTCAAGCATTCTGACCCTAAAAGAGAAAACATTAACAACTCATTGTCTCTGTTTCAGGGAAGAGAATCTCAATTTTAAGAATCATAGGACTTGAGTTCCAATCCTGAATCTATCACTTAGCAACTGTGTGACCTTTTTCAAATTACCTAATATCCGTGGGCCTCAGTTTCATCATTTGTAAAATGAGAAGATTAGACTAGATGGTCTTTCAGGTCCTTTCTACCCCTTGACCCATGAGTCTATGTTGGAGTCTCTTGATCATCAACCCCCTCCCACTACAAGTATACTTGAATTTTTTTAATGGAATAGGTTCTATAATATTTTTAGGCTATTTTTTAAAGATCGAATTGAAAGGCAAAAGAAAGAAAAAAAGAGGGATTGGAAAGGGGGAAAGATGACTTAAACAGCTGGTTTTAAAGGAAAAATAATGAATCTAGAGAAAGAAAGGAGGATGAGAGATTAAATCATACTACATGGACTAAATTCCATGAATCCATTATGTAAGTGCATCAATCTTTTGCAAGAGGGGTAGATAACACAGTGAGAATTTGAATGAAGAGGGGAAATGGAAGTTAAAAAAAAAATAAGAGGAAAGATGGACAGGCACCTCCACAAGGTGGATAGGTAAACAATGAAGGATTAATTTCTTTAATTTCTCAAAGAACAGTGAGCAGTGTAGAAGAATGTAATGGAGGGGAATCAGTGATGAGGAAAGGGAAAGACCAGGGAAGGGGGGATATTTGAAGAGAAGGTCTTATCCTGGAAAGGAAGAGTGAAAAGTGACACAGAAAATGCCCATCAGCCATTATTTTTTCCCCCTGGGACAAATTTGCGAACTTGGACAGCACCTTGTTTACTATTATCTGGCCAACTGCCGGTTGGTGTATTATTCTATGGTAGCTTGGGTCTCTACTCTGAATTTGTTAGTTTATAAAGGGCTCAAGCTCTCTGTTTCTCTGTCCGTCTGTCTCTTGCCTTATCTCTCTGTCTCTCCCTCTCTTTGTTTCCCTTTGTCTCCATCTCTTTATCTCCCTGTCTCTCTCTGTCTCTCTGTCTCTCCTCTTCCTCCTCCTCCTTCTCCTCCTGCTCTTCCTCCTCTCTGTGTCTCTCTGTTCCAGGTGGCACAGAAGATAGAGAGATAGACCTGGAGTCAGGAAGATGAGTTCAAATCTGGCTTCAGACATTTACTAGATGTGTGACCCTGAGCAAGTCACTTAGCCTCTATCTGCTTCAGTTTGTTTTGCAATAAAATGGCGATGATAATTGTACTTACCTTAGAGCATTGTTGTGAAGATTAAATTGAATGATATTTTAAAGTACTTAAAACAGCCCATAGTAGGTACTCAATAAATAATTATTCCCTTCCCCTTCCTTTTTTCTACTTGAGCCTAAAATTCCATAGATCCCAAGGGTCATGTAGAACCAAACTGTCAAGTTCTGGGGAGGACTGGCTGCCTAGACTGTCCTGTGTCCTTCCTCATTCTTTGGAATCAAAAACGATGTGGAGACCCTGAGTGGTGCCAAGGTGGTTAGGACACAGTAGTTTTGTAAGCCAATAATTGTATTTCCTTAATATGTCATATCGTTAGATCAATTGAGTAAGAAACTACACATACTTGAAATTCAAGATTGGGTTGGATGGATTCATTAGATGATGTTTCAGATATCTTGCTCATTTTCTTTTATGATCAGATTCATGGAAAAGCCACTCCACTTTTGACTAAGCCAATTCAAACAGTTCGGGGGTAAGTTTGTTTAGAAAACATATAGCCAGGTTACCAGGAAAAACCATTTCTTTATCCTCAAATTAGTGACAGTACCATGGATGTCTTTTTCATTATTTGGGGTTCATTCAACTCCTTTCTTTATCAAGTTTCTATGGTAGATATCCAGGAAATCTTTTTTTGAGTTAAAACAAAAAAGAGATGTCATTAAACTTGGATAGGTGCAATGACTGAGGAGGAAAAAATACATACATATACATATATATATATATATATATATATATGAGTGTGTGCATGCATGTTTGTGCATGTATGTGTACCTACTAAATTCTCCTTCCGTTGTTTCCATCCTTGTTGAGATATTATATAATTATATCCTTGCCCCTGTGGAAATGGTATAGGAATGTTTGTATATTGTCAGTATCTTCTACAGATAAGGAGATGTAAATCATTTTTAGGCACTGCAAAAGAAACTAATAACTGGTATGATAATGCGATTGTCAAAGACCACATATTATAATTATAGAATTAAAAACCATGCTTCTTCTAGATTGTCCTGAAGAAATATAGAAACATTGCTACATTTGAGGAGCTCTATTGGAGCAGAGGGTATCCAAGGAAATCAGGAGCCACAAATGATCTCACCTGATCTGTGGCTTATCTAAAAGTCAAATTTAGACTAAGATCTTTATACCATTTGCAAAATCATTCATTTGGATCCTGTTTACATTTTGGTGGTAAACTATAATCATTTGTTTAAGAGCTTGTTACTAACAGAGAAACTGGATATTTTTTTTTAAATTTCTCACTCCTAATAATGTTTTTTGTGATCTTTGAAACAATTGAGAGTTTGGACCTTTTTTTTTAAAGTAATAAATGAATATTCTCTATAGAAGGTTTCAAAGTCAGCCTCTAAATAGTGAATGTATCCTTTGTTCTTTGAAGTTTACTTTAGCTCTTTTTTGACTATCAAAGCCTGAAAATAAGCCTCAGCTAGGAGCCACTCACTCAACACTGTTGCTAGTAATGACCTTCGCAACTTAAGAGTTAAATATCTACAGAAATATGTTTATCTATGTTTGGCAGAATTGAATCATCTTATGCTCCATCACATTCTTGTAGAATCCATCTCTAAAATCATATTAGATAAACCAAAGAAAACGTTCATGAGAAAAAATAAATTTTACGCTTCACAAACTCTTCTATTGTGTGTCCCTAAAGAAGTAATATAGTGGGATTTAGAATTAGAGGACCTGAATTTGAATTCTATTTCTTTCTCTTAGTGTCCTTGTGACCCAAGGGGCAGGCAATTCCCTTTTCTGAGCCACCATTTCTTCATTATTAAAATGAAGGTATTAGACAAGATGATTTCTAAGGTCTTTTCTAGCTCTAAATCTGTGATTTTTCCGTTTTTTCATGCCAAGCTCTTCTAACCCAATAGTCAATCTTTACTCTAATTCTTATATCAGGATATCATGAGAAACAAAGCAAAACAATAAAACATGGTATTTTCCCCCAAAGCAAAGTACTTCAGAATTACAGGAGACATTAACATTTCATAGTCCAATACTTCAATTTCATAGTAAAGAAGTCTATGTGTATTTTTAATTTTATTTTTGTTTTATTAATATTATAGATATATATTTGATGTTTTAATTTTAAATAATTGCTACACACACACACACACACACACACATATATATATATATATATATATATATATATATAATTTTCATAATTCTTCAGTGGTAGAATAGCATAATGGTGGCACAGTGGATAGAGCACAATACTGAGGTCAGGAAGATGAGTCTTCCTGAGTTCAAATCTGGTATCAGCCACTGGTGGTGCTGGGCAAGTCACTTAACTCCCTTCGCTTCAATTTCCTCATTGATAAAATAAGCTGGAAAAGGAAATGGCAAAACACTCTATCTATTCCCCCCCAAAAAAACCCTAAATGGAGTAACACAGAGTCAGACACAACTGAAAAACAACTGAAAAACAAGAATCTGGTCTTTTGGGATTACAATCTTCCTTTAAAGATTATTCCCTCCCCATTTTTTTTTTCCTGCAGAGATATAAGGTCTTTACTTGTGACAAATTCACTGTTTTCCTAGATTCTGCCTCCCTTTGGGGAACATGGGTAGTTAAGTCAAATCTATAAAGCTCAGCTGAATTGAGAGGCTAGAGTGAAAGCAATTAGCATCGTGACCTCAATCTTCCTCTTTCTGTCCCCGACTGACCCTTTAGCTGCTGCTGGACCTCCAGCAAGTCAACATTAGAGCCAGAAGTAGATCTCACATCTCTGATTCCTGATTTAGCACTAATGAGTCTAAATCCCCATGGCTTATGTGAGTGGCACATGTTCTAGTGGCCAGAGCAGAGGACTTGGAGTCAGGATATTCTAGATCTGAACTTGGCCACATACTCATTAGTTATGTGATGCTGGATGAGGCCCTGAAACTGTCTGTACTTCAGTTTCCTCATCAGATGATGAGCAAAAAAATAACCCCTTCCTCAGGCAATGGCATGCTGGTAAATGTTTAATAGGCCCTCTGGTGGGAAAATGGATTCATGATACCCTTTTAATTTTAATCTGTATTATTTACATTTTCTCTTTCACTTTCTTAAGTCTAAACAATCAACAAAACAATAAATCAAACACTGATTTGTAGTTTTTACTGATTCCTAAGATATAAGTATTCACACTGAAAATTTAATAATCAGCTTTCTTAAGGCAGCTTGAGGTAGCTCCAGTCCATACCTACAGTCACAGATATCATAGGATCATAGACTTTGAGTTGTCAGGGGCTTCTGAGCTAAACTGGGACTAAATTCCTGTCTTCTCATTTTGTTTAGTTGTTTCAGTCATGTCTGACTCTTCATGACCCGTTCAAGTTTTCTTGGCAATGATATTGGAATGTTTGGTCATTTCCTTCTCCAGCTCATTTTACAGATGAGGAAACTGAGACAAACGATGGTAAGTGATTTTCCCAGGGTCACACAGCCAAATTTGAACTCATGAAGATGTTTTCCTGATTGCAAGTCCAGTGCTCTATCCGCTGTATCACCTAGTTGCCTCTCATTTTAGAAACGAAGAAACTGAGGTCCATAGAGGTTAAATGAATTAGCCAAGTCAAACCAATATTTACTGCTGAAGGTGGAATTCAAACCCAGGTCTTCCAGACTCCAAACCCTATACTCTGTCTGCTGTATCATGAAAGGATTAAATTATATATATATATATATATATATATATATATATATATATATATATATATATATATATATGAAT